TTGATAAAATATAAATGGTTAGATAGCAACTTGTTTCAAAAATTCTAATTTTAATTAGATCAAGTTTCCAAGAAATAGAGTGGATTTCAAACATTCTTCATGGACTTTTGCCTTATTTTTTTTTGCAATTCTCATCTAACAAGGCTTCTTTCAAGTAATTACTTTGGGTACAATTTGAATTCTTAAGTAGAGTAACCACTAAGAATTTGAATATCTTCTTTGATGTTTTCATGTCTAGATATTCCTCACTATCGTGGGCTTCTGTAAAACTCTCATATGCTTGTATAAATGAACACAGTAGTTGTGTCTAATTTTAATAGGTATAATGTCTGAGTAATGAATTTCCCTCTATCATAACTCAGACTACTTTCTTTTCCCTTTATTTTCATGAAAAAAAGAATTATTTTAAAAGTTATTAATTGTGAGATTGTGGGGGGGTTTAGACTACTATTCAAAAGATACATTCTAATTGGTTTGACTTCCTTCTGAAATATTTGTTTCCATTATCTGCATAACTACCATCTCAAATTTAATTGCTTAAAACAATCATCTTATTGGCTTAATGTTCTGCGATCTAGGCTGAGTTCAGCTGGGTAGCTCTTGGTCGGGTCTTGGTGATGATTACTTGTGTGGCTGCATTCAGTTGGCAGGTGGACTGAGGACGGGACTCATTTGGGATGCAGAAATGACTGAGCCTCTGCTTCTCCATGTGATCACTCCACTTGGTTTCTCCGGCAGGGTAGCTGGACTTCTTACTCCCAAGAATGCAAAAGCAGAAGCTGTAATGCTTTCTTAAAGTTTATGGCTAGTACTGGCATAGTGTTACCTCCGTCATATCCTGTTCGTTAAAGCTAATCGTAACACCAGCCCACATTTAGGGGGAGGGGACTATACAAGGATTCGAATACTGCCAGGCCTGATTCATTGGGGCCACTAGTTTAACAGACTACCACAATACCCTTAAACAGTTATTTGAATCAGAGTTTAGAAGTAGCCAACTCTTCACCTTTCTTTGTCTGAAAATGTCTTTCAGTTGCCCTCTTTGATGAATGAAAGCATAGCTAAAAGTAGAACTTTGGGTCCATAATTATTTACCCTTTACATTTTGAAGATATTATTCCATTGTCTTCTGGATTCTATTGTTGTGTCAAGTCTGCAGGCAGTTCAGTTGTTAATAAACTGCTCTTGCTCCCAGGGTCATGCAAGTGCCTCCTTAAGTTTTGCATCCTTTGTGCCTCATTGCCTCATCTTTCTCCTGCCCCTGGTATTCTATGAGCTCTTTCAATCTGAGGTCTTCTATCTTTCTTTAATTCTTGGATATATATCATTATTTTATCAAATACTTCTTCCCTTCCACTATTTCTTCTTAGTTCTGGTGTTGATGCTTCCATCTTCCATGTCTCTGAGCTTTTCTTTAATATTTTTATCTCTTTATCTTTTCCTGCTGCCTTCTGGAACAGCATCTCAGTCTGATTTTCTTGTTCATGATTCTTGTTTAGACCACCTATTTTTTTGCTTCAACTGTTGTATTTTTTTATTTCTAACATTTTATATGATTCCTTTTTATGACCTGTTCTTGTTCATATTAATAATACCTTCTCTGTATCTTTGAGGATATTTGTTATGCTTATTTTAAATCCTTGGTGTATTGGTTCTGACACTTCTGCTTCACACAGTGTATGTTTTAAATTTTTCTTTCTTTTATGGTCAAATTTATGCTAGATCATGTTTCCCTAGAGGAATCAGTAGCCCTGTGCAGGCAACAGCTGAAGACGAGGGTCCAGTTTGTGTGCCTCTCACTCAATTTAAGGAAAGAAAATGAGGCTCAGGCTGGAGAGCTTCTTAGACCACAAACCCTATTTTGACCATTGTTATTTGCAGTCACTCTACCAGGCTGGTCCTCTAGTCAGGAATCCACCCTACCACCCCTAAACTGTTTTTTAAAAGCCATCACTGAGAAAAGGCAGTATCCTGATGGTTTTAATTCACCAGCATTGACAGTTGCTGCGGGAATGTTGGAGGAAGATTGCCCAAGGGGGCAACACAGACTCATTTTCCTCAGCTCCTTATCCTGGAGGAACTTCTGTGCTTTTCTGATATTACTGTGTTTACAACAGATGGCTAGGCAGTTGCTACCAGTTTCTGTGGCCCTGGGCAAGCATAATCTTCCCAAGGCAATGTGAGGGAAAGTCAAAGGCAGATTTTAAAACTCTCCCCCAACCTATTCTCTCTTGGCTGCATCTGACCTTCCTACCCTCAAGCCCAAACTGCCACCAACCCTTTATACCAGTTCACTAAAGCCTTTGGGTTTCTCAGAGTTTTACTGAGAGTTCAGATTCCTGCTTCTTTCTCCTGCCATGGTTTCCCCTTTTGGCAAGATACAGAAAAGCTGACCCTTTGTTAACGTTGAAGACTACATAATGTGACCCTAGCATCCTAGAGACTTTATAAACACTGCCCTTAATTTTCACAATTCCAAAAGCAAATTATTATTTTCTTCATTTTAGAGAAGAGGAAATCAAATTTCAATGAAGTTCGGTGATTTTTTTTTTCAAAGTCACACAACTAGGAAATGTGGTAAAGCCAGAATTTGAAAACATTTCTATCTTATCCCCAAATCCATGCTTTGGATACTTCATTAACGCCACCTATTAATGCCTGCATTTAGAGCTACTACATTTTGTCTATCCATGAAGTTATGAAACTGTGTTCAAAAATACTCATGTTCTGTGAGCTGGACCATGGTATTCATCAAAAAACTGGTCATCTTTTCCCTCTTGGTAGAAAAAAATGTAAGTTATGGATAGAATTTTCTCGGTGTCATGCTTATTATATCTTTGCACTGTTTTCTGTGTGCTAGCAAGCCCTATAAGAAAGGTAATAATTAAGTAGAACATGAGTTTTGAGCAGTTGATTGCAATTAGAAATCAAGAAAATGTTAACATTTAACTTTTTTTAATACTGTTAACTGGGAAAAGATTGCCATTTTATATCATGTCATGTATAAGTATTTGAATACTCATCATTCTTGCTAATAAAATTAGTTTATAACAATGTCTGAATATCAAAGTGAATTCATTAATGCTTAATAAATGTAAATTTCCTAACAAATTTTTTCTATGCATTCTCCTAATTTAAAAGGTCTGATTTTTAAAAATTAAATTTTATTTTTTAATAATTAATATATGCTTATAGCACAAAATTCATATTGTACAAAAAGATATACAGTGAAAACTGAATCCTCTTCTCCCCACCTCTGTTCTCCAGTCCCCTAGTTCTCTTTCTCTACAATAACCACTGTTACCAGTTTCTTACATTAGCATTTCATAGATATATTAGGTGTACATAAACTCCTATGTACATATTTTTTAAGGGAGAAATTATTTTCCCTGATAGAATTTTACTTCACTAGACTTTTGTGATTGCAGGCAACAGTACTGAAAGTTGCTCTGATTCTTTAAATAACCTTCTCTGCAGCCAGATGTGGTGTCTCACACCTGTAATTTCAGCACTTTGGGAGGCTGAGGCGGTGGATCACCTAAGTCCAGGAGTTCGAGACCAGCCTGGCCAGCATGGTGAAACACTGTCTCTACTAAAAAGCAAAAATATAAAAATTAGCCTGGTGTGGTTGTGTGAGTCTGTAATCCCAGCTACTCAGGAGGCTGAGGCAGGAGAATCACTTGAACCCGGAAGGCAGAGGTTGCAGTAAGTAGAGATCGCACCACTGCACTCCAGCCTGGGTGACAGAGTGAGACTCTGTCTCAAAAAACAAACAAACCAAAAACCTTGTCTGCTGAAAATAAAACTAAACTGAGTTTTTAAAATTATTTAAGATGTTAAACATACATATATAATGAGGCGAATATAATGAACTCCTATATACTTATCACCCAGATTAAAAGATTATTTAAAAGTGATTTTTTTTTTTCTTGAAACAGAGTCTCACTCTTTTGCCAAGCTGGAGTGCAGTGGCGTGATCTCAGCTCACAGAAACCTCTGCCTCCAGGGTTCAAGCGATTGTCCTGCCTCGGCCTCCCAAGTAGTTGGGACTACAGGCATGTGCCATCACGCCCAGCTAATTTTTGTATTCTTAGTAGAGGTGGGGGGGTTTCACCATGTTGGCTAGGATGGTCTCGATCTCTTGACCTCGTGATCCGCCCTCCTTGTCCTTAAAAGTGATTTTTAAAGGATCTAATACTCTTACAAATTTTCAGAGCCTCTGTTATTGGGTGAAATGAAAAGAATTATGTTTTCAACTACAACCGTAGCAGCCCTTCCAACGTATTCCATTAGTGCTGGCTTTGCCCTGGAGTCTTCCAGTGTATTCCTGAAGTGCTGGCTTTGGCATAGAATTTCTAGTCCATGGCTGTAGCCACTTGGCCACAGCTATAGATACAACATAGAATTTCTCATAGTCTTTCTGGTAGTAAAAAGTTAACAAATGATAGTTATGCTTTCCCTAAAACTTACTGGTATCTGTGTAAAAAGCATAGTGGTACAGTCATGGCTCACTGCAGCCTTGAACTTTTGGGCTCAAGCAATACTCCCACCTTCTTCCAAATAGCTGGGATTATAGGCACATGCCATCATGCTTGGCTAATTTTTTGTAGAGTTGGGGTCTCACCATGTTCCCCAGGCTAGTCTCAAACTCCAGGATTCAAGCAATCCTCCTGCCTTGGCCTCTGAAGGCATGCTGGGATTACAGGCATGAGCCACAATGCCTGGCCATATTATTGTATTAATATTAATTTAATATTAGTTTTTTAAATTACTAATAATTCCACACATGGAGCTAATTTTGCTATTTTGATTTGGTTCTTTTCATGGAGAAAGAACGGTGAATCCATTCTATTTATTATTTAGATGTGTATGAATAATCTTGCATACTTAAAGAATTTAGTTTTGTCACCATATTTTATAAAGCATATTATTAATACTGATTATATTTCCATAAACAATTCTAATTTTTGTCCTGACTTCACCAAATCTTTTATTTTTAGTTCCACTTGTCTTTCCTGGTACATCAGAACTTCAAAACAATTTTATAGAATACATCTCTTTTATACATCAATATGATGCCAGGAAAACTCCGAATGAGCCTCTCTGGGGAAAGGTGAGACAATATTGATAATTAATTATTTAATATTTTAAGACAGAGTAGATTTGTACAAGAACTTTATACCTTTTCAAGTCATAATTATCTTTCTAAAAGTCTATTTAAACAAACTACTGTAGTTATTAATAGAATCTTAGTCACATGCCATGGTAAAATGTAAGGAATGAAATTATCCTGGTATGGTGATGCCACCTGTAGTCCCAGCTACTCAGGTGGGTGAGGGGGGAGGATTACTTGAGCCCAGGAGTTTAAGGCTGCACTGAGCCATAATTGCACTATTGTATTCCAGCCTGGGGGACACAATAAAACCTCATTTCAATCAATCAATAAAAACATAATAATTTGAACGAGTATTTGGAATTTGGTCTACTTACTGAAATAATTTGTGTAAAACAATGTCAAAACATGCTGGATACAGTGACTTGATGCCTGTAGCCCCGGCTACTCTGAAAGCTGAGGTAGGAGGATCATTTGACACCAGCAGTTTGAGGCCAGCCTGGGCAACATAACAAGTCCCCTTTTCTAATAATAATAATAATACATATGTGTGGCAGGGAGATGCATATAAGGTTTATAAAGCCAAATAGGAATGTAATTGTCAATTATTGGATTTTTTCCAACTATAGATGTTTGCTTTCATATTTCATTATTTCTTAGCTTTCCATTAGCACTAATAAACATTTGGGATGCAATCATAAATTCTTAGGTCTATGAACTGTACTTTTTGTTGGACCCATAGCAATCTTTAGAGCAAGAAATGAAATTTGATGTGAGTAGTCTTATGTAGTCCAAATGATAAAAAAGTTGGGAATGGAAGATAATGAGCTGCTGCTTCTTTGACTTTCTGCTTTTTTCCTTCCTGTTCATTTTCTGATGCACCCTATTTTATAATCTAAAAGGTTCACCCATATATGGTGGTGTCTAATTTGGAACTAAGGTGACACCAATGAAGAGGCAGAGAAGTGCGTGCCTGCATCAGTCACTAGGACTTGAGCTAACCCACAAACTCGTTCACAGCTGCATCTTCCAGCAATTTCTGTTCTCCCTGGTGAAAGTCAACTTTGTTTTCTTTTTTAGAGACATGGAGCTTTTGTGCAGAGAGAGATAAAACCAGGGAGTAGGCCGACAGTTCCTAAAGGAACAGAGGTATTACTGAATGCTCCAGGGTCACGTTCATCAGAACAGTCCAAAAAAACAGAGAAAGGAAGCTCAGCGGAAAGCAGAATGATCTCACCAGGTCTCTGCCGACAAAATTCCCAAGAGCTGTTAGAGACTAAAACTCACTTATCAGAAACAGACTTCAGACAGGCAGCCAAGGCATGCCCCAGCAGTCCTGAGAGCAGAGAAAAGACCACAGGCGCCACTCAAACAACTGAAGGAGATGCTCTTTTCACCAGGCACAAGGCTTTAAATCCAGCAATTAAAAAATCAGAATAAATTACCTTCTTCTGATAAAAGTATAATCCCCAGAATATAGGGGAATTTCGCAATCCTCATCTTGGCCCTCACATTTACCTTTTTTGTTATCAATAACCTGAGAACATACTATTTATGTAAATGAAAAAAGAGAAAAAAAGACAATTAGAATACAAACAAATGTTATTGATAAAAGTTGTCTCCATTAAGTGATTGAGACATTGTTTCCACATCACAGTCTTTATAAACACAACTTTGTTTTGCACAAAAGTTATGAACATAATTAACAAATATAACAAGACTTTTAGAAGAGAGGCCCTGTTAGAAGGTTGTGAGTGACAGCTTTAGAATCAAACAAACTGGAGATGGAATATTTGCTTCACTTTATTCCTTGAGCTGTGTGACCTTGGGTAAGTTACTTAACCTCTCTAGACTTCAGTTTTCTCAACTGTAAAATTGGGAAAATAGCAACTTCATAAGATTATTGAGCATGAGATTATGCATGTCGATCAATAGGTGGTCAATGTAATCATATCATCACTGCTACTATAATTCAATTTTCAATTTAAGGATAATGTTCTCCTACACATTTAAATTTTCCTCCTTATTCTTAAACTTAGAACTCTTCCATATATAATTAAGAGTGTGAAAATCTAAAAATATTTCTGCCAGTACAAGATGCACACATAGACGCAGACGCAGACACACACACACACACACACACACACACACAAACGCACTTAATCCAAAGGCATATGGGTACTTAGAATATTGAAGTATTTTCCAAATTGTTTTCTGTTTTACTCAGATCATTTCTAGTACCAACTCAACCTTTGCTTTTTGGATGAGTTTGGTAAGGATTCATTCCACTTTGCTTTTTGGATGAGTTTGGTAAGGATTTATTCCACTTTGCTTTTTAGATGAGTTTAGTAAGGATTAATTCCACTTTGCTTTTTGGGTGAGTTTGGTAAAGATTAATTCCGCTTCCAATTTTGTGTGTTCGGTGTGCCACATGGTATCTACTATATGATATGTTATAGTGCATACAATTGGAAGTAGGTGGAGTATTCCTGTACTATAAAGAGTATTTACAAATTTCCATGGAGAAATATCAGCTGCTCACTATTTTCAGTATTGAGAAGACTACAGCTATATCTTTATCACTTTATCCTCCACAAAGAAATTTTAATAAACTGCAAAAGAATAAATTTCATTATTATGTATTTTTATGTTGGGGACTTCTAGTTCTTATACATAATATAAAAATATTATATATTTTTGTGTTGCCACTTCTAGCTCTATATATCGCCAGTATATATCTTGGAGCTCTTTCCTTGTAGGCTATCTTGTTATTTTAATAGCTCCATAGTCTTCAATAGCAAAGGTACTGGAAAAATCAGAAAGCAAGTTTTGTTATGAGGGCAGGGAAGAGAGAGGTTGTTAGCATGTTTGGGAAAAGGTCTTAAAGTCTAGGGACTTGAATTTTTATACGCATTGGAACAGAAACGGAACATCATGTCCTCCAAAGGAGGAAGATAGAATTGAAACCTGCACAAAGGTAGAACTCTTGAATGGCTGGCCTGTCAGTACAAGGCAGACTCCACTCCTCTCATAATCGGAAGATAGCAAGGAAGTTTGCCTCTGCCTGGAGCTATAGATAGTATATAAACTCTGTGAAAAAGTAAAACCCCAAGTTTGTACCACACGCCAGTTAGGAATACGAATTTACATGCAAGTGTTCTCTTAGGACACAAAATTATATATATTACAAAAAAATCCACTAGTGATACTGCTGAAGTGCCTCACAAAAGCAAATGCAAAACCCCCTGGAGAGACGTTTCATGATCAACACAAAAAAGGAATCCCTGCTAAAGATAGTCACACACAAAAATTACAAATCATAAAAGAAAACCAAACTGAGCAAGAGTCTGCAGTACAAAAGAATGACTATAATTTCAAAACTGGAGATAAAAGAATTAAAACATGTAATTTTAAATCTGGAGATAAAAGAATTAAAACACTTTCCATTTGGATATCCTTGTTGTTTTTTCTACCCTAGAAAATTGTATTATGTTGCCTTTTCTGTTACTTCCATCTCCTCCATTCTTTTTATTCCCTCCTTCTGGGACAGCTATTAGCTAAATGTTAGAACATTTGTCTCTTATTATCTCTCTCTCTCTCTCTCTCTCTCTGTGTGTGTGTGTGTGTGTGTGTGTGTGTGTGTGTGTGTGTCTACGGTTTTTTGGTTTTCTTTTGAGACAGAGTCTCTCCAGAGCCAGGCTGGAATGCAGTGGCTTGATCTCAGCTCACTGCAATCTCCACCTCCCAGGTGTTTGGAAAACTCTGCCCCTACCGCGAAAGCTCTCTCTCTTTCCCTCCCCCACAAAGAGGCTCCCTTATCTCTCACTTTACATACCGGCCCTAGCCCTCCCGCCACCCAGCTTCCCACCCAGCAGTTCAAACTGACCAACAGTTGCCCACCACCTCGGCTTTCGGCTTCCCCACCCCCCAGCCCTTCAGCCCCCTATAAAATAACCCTGCCCCTCTGAGCGGCGCAGCCATTCTCCTCTTCCTCCCGGCTGGTCCGCCTGGAGGCTCTTTCCTCTCAATAAAGCCTGAACTTAAGGAATTTCCTCTAGCTTGCGGTCCGGTTTTTTCCGAACGAGCTCAGTCTTCCCGCAGAGGGTAGGTCAGACAAATGGTGCCGGAAACCCGGGAGCTGGGGCCGTTGGCCCGGCCACGGCCCCCCTCCCCGACCTACCCAACACTGGCCCTGCCACCTCCACGTTCCAATTAAGGTAAGCCAAGTTTTTTCTTGCTTTGCCTTCCCCCGCTTCCCGTCTCCTCCTCCTATGGCACGGTGCAGTTGCTCCCTCTCCGGCGTTCCGCACGGACTCCTTGCCTAGTCTCAGCCAAGCCAAGGTAGTCTTCTGTTCCGGCTCCAGGAGCCTTCCGAGGGACAGCCGCCAGACGGGGGACGCCCCTCTGACCGCTTTCCTTTCCGTACTTAATTGTACTCCGGGGAATTTGCAGCGAACGGGGACGCCTTTTCGTTGCATCTGCCCATCCGCGCCGGAGAGTCTGTAGCTGCGCCTGCCATGGGAAATTCGGAGTCCAAAATACCTCTGAGCACCCCCCTTGGGTGCTTGCTGCGAAATTTTACCAAATTGGGATATTCCCAAACCCTCAGAAAGAAAAAGCTTATCTTCCTGTCTCAGGTGGCTTGGCCCCAATACAAACTCGGTAACCAGTCACATTGGCCCCCGACTGGCACTTTTGATTTCAACACCCTCTGAGATCTCGACGATTTTTGTCGCTGTGCGGGCAAGGACAATGAAATTCCTTACGTCCAGGCTTTTTGGGACCTCCGTACCCACCCCTACCTATGTTCTTCCTGCTCCACCTACCAAATCCTCTTAGCTCGAACCCCTCGTAAATCTTCCTCCACTACCTCTCCCCCTCCCTACTCCTCACCGGAGGATCTGCCTGAACATCTGTCCTCTCCTGCCAATCTCAGCAACCAGTCGCCATCAATGGCACGCCCTTCCCCCACTCCCTCTGCACCTCCTACCTCAGAGGCCATGCCTCGCTCTCCCTCTACTCCCTCCGGGCCCCCTCCCTCAGAGGCCACACTTCCTCCAGTGGTGGCCCACACCCGCTTTCACCAGCCAGCTATCCTGGCCCCACTCCGAGAAGTAGCAGGCGCAGAAGGTTTAATCAGGGTCCATGTTCCTTTCTCACTCCAAGACCTGTCCCAAATTGAGAAACGTTAAGATCCTTCTCAGCCAACCCGTCCACCTATATTAAAGAATTCCAATACCTCACTCAAGCATAAGAAGCCCTAGTCCGGTACACTCGGTTAGACCCAGCCTCCCAAAACGGGGCCACTGTATTAGCCTCCCACTTTATCTCCCAATCAGCACCCGACATAAAAAGAAACTAAAGAAAGCAGAAGAGGGGCCAGAGACTCCCATCCAAGATCTGGTAAAAATGGCCTTTAAAGTATTCAATGCCAGGGAAGATGCGGCTGAGGCTGCCCGCCAAACCCGCATCAAGCAGAAGGCTGCCCTCCAGACCCAAGCCCTAGTGGCGGCTCTAAGGCTGGCAGGGAACCAGAAGCCCAAGGCCAAAACCCATGCCCCTCCAGGGGCATGTTTCAAATGTGGAAAGGAAGGACACTGGTCCCGAGCCTGTCCACAACCATGGCCACCAACTAAGCCTTGCCCTATCTGTCAGCTCCCGGGACACTGGAAGTCAGACTTCCCCAGCTTCCCCAGGGTGCCGGTTCCTCAAAACAGACACACTGGCATTACGCAGCCGGCAGTCACCCTCGGTAGGGAGGAGCCTGCTTGCCAGGAACCGACCTCCGAGGGAACTCCATTCCCCAGGCTATTAGGGCTGCTAGACGACTAGCGGGGCCCTGGCTTTCCGATTCCGGTTACCCTCGCCGAGCCTAGGGTCACAAGACATGGGGGCTACCTACTCCGCTCTTCCTTCTTATTCTGGCCGTCTCACCCGTTCCCAGGTCTTAGTCATGGGAATTGACGGGACCCCGAGTATCCCCTACCAAACCCCACCACTCACATGCTCATATAACTCTACTCCATTTACCCACTCTTTTTAGTAATCCCCACCTGCCCAGTTCCCCTTCTGGGGCGAGACATCCTTTCAAAGCTGAAGGCCATCATAACCTTCCCCACCACCAGCCCACACAGCCTTTTTTCTTCTAGCCCTCAATACTCTGCCTCGGAACTCCAGACCCTCCAGTCTACCCCCGGGGTATGGTTCAAGGATGACTGGGCCTTCAAGCATAACCTCCTCATCCTCCCCGAAAAGCAAAAGTACCAGATAATCCAAGACATCCACAATTCACTCCACATTGGGCCTAAAGCCTTATACCGATTCCTCAACCCACTTTTTCACCCTCACCATCTCCTCAGTACCATACAGGAAGTCCAGTCCTCATGTACTGTCTATGCGAAAACTAATTCCCAGGGTTCCTGTCATCCCCGGCGCCAGCTTCATCAGCTACGTGGGTTCCTACCTGGCCAAGACTGGCAAATTGATTTCACCCATATGCCAAAGCACAAACAGTACCGGTATCTGCTAACCATTGTTGACACTTTTTCAGGCTGGATTGAAGCTTACCCCACAGCCTCTGAGTCTGCCGGGACAGTAGCCACTCATCTCATTGAAGACATCATCCCATGCTTTGGACTCCCAGCCACCATACAGTCAGACAACGGCCCAGCCTTTATCTCCAAAGTCACTAATGCCATTTCTACCTCTCTAGGAATTCAGTGGAAGCTACACGCCGCCTACCATCCTCAGTCCTCTGGTAAGGTGGAACGGGCCAATGGCCTAATAAAGGAGCATCTGACTAAGCTCATGCTTGAGCTCCGCCAATCCTGGGTAACCTTGCTTCCTATTGCCCTCACCAGGTTGAGAGCAAGCCCCCGGGGCCCATCACAGCTTAGCCCGTTCGAGCTGCTGTATTGTCGCCCCTTCCTACTTTCAACTCCCCCACCGCCAGAGACCACTCCTCTAGACAGCTACCTCCCCTACTTTACTCTCCTTCGCAGCCTTCTCCAAGAACACGCCAACGCTTCTCTTCCCCAACCCACCCAGCCATCTGAAAATACACAGAAAGTCTCCCCCGGAGACTCAGTTCTTATCAGGTCCCTCTCCCCAAAGCCCCTCGCCCCCAAGTGGGAAGGACCATACACAGTCCTCCTTACCACTCCATCAGCTATAAGAATTGCTGAAATCCCATCTTGGGTTCACCTCTCTTGGGTAAAAAGGCTCCTCATGGACCCTCCTTATGCTGGAAGGCTGTTCCTACTGGCCCTTTATCTGTCAAACTTACCAGGGCCTAGCAGCCACACCCCCTACAGATGGAAATTCTTCCTAACTGAAAACTATACCAAAACCACCTTCATCTGTAATACCCCCCCATACAGCCACAACCACCTTCTTGCAACTTCCGACTGCCCCGCAGCCGGATGCCAAAGTGCCATATATCTGAACTTCACCAAATTCCGCAACGTCCATACTGATATACCTCTCATGTGCTTCAACTATGACCAACCATCAGGAGCATGCAATAATACTCCTTGGCGCTCCTGCATGGGATGTACTTGGATGAGCTGTCGACTACATATAGCTATCGAGTCCACAGTACCTGCCCGATCTCAGCTCAAAATCATCCCAGATGTAGATGGAGAAGGAAACACCATTATCGGTTCTACATGGTATTCCCTTCTCATACCTGACCCCTGGGACAACCGGTGGAAAAGCCCCCAGAAAGCTGCCGTGTATGACCACATAGATACCAAATATCCCTCTTCCCACCTGTACATCTGGCGGGCATACGTACGTACAGTCCACCAAGTCCACTCTGACATTAGCCTACAAGAAAAATCTCTGAATGACCAATTGCAACCACATTCGCCTCCGTTTTCCTGGTTAACCTTTCTCCAAGAAGGAATCAAGTTAGCTAACCTCTCAGGATTAACTGACCTAACCTCATGCCTCATGTGTGCCTTCTTAGGACAGACTCCCTTCGTTGCAGTCCCCTACCCCATCCCTCTCAACCTTTCAGCCTCAACTTCTTCCTTCTCCCCTATCAAGGAAGTTGATCTCTATACACTCCACCTGATTTTGAACAGCTACCTGTGTGCTATTCCCTAGGCCGAAACTTCCCTAGCTGTAACAGAACTGTATGGGTAACCACTAATATAACAGCCCCACGAGGAACGTTTTTCTGGTGTAACAAGACCTTAACAAAAACTCTCTACATTGGTCTTTCCTCATCTCTTTTATGCCTCCCGGTAACCCTAGTCCCTCGACTCACTATATATTCCCCAGCCGAATTCCAGATGCTGTAAACTCCCCATCGCCGCACCCGACGAGCTGCCTTCCTACCCATTGCCGTTGGAGTCTCCCTTGCTGGTTCAGCACTTGCAGCAGGATTAGGAGGAGGGGCACTAGTCCACTCTCACCTGGCCATAGCCCGACTGACCTCGCAACTCCA